CACATCTTCCTTCTGCGCAGTACTAACCAGAGTTGGCGTGAGCACTGCTGCCGTTATGTGCAAAATGCAGGGAGTTCCCAGACTGGACCAGCTCTATTCCTGAGAATGTCTTTAAGTTGAATTTATACTTAAGTCAGATCATGTATATAGAGGTTGCATGAGTAAGCCAAATGCTTGTCTTAGTATACGTATACAGTTCCTTTCCATAAATATAAAACACTTAAGAAATGCTTCCATATACAGTCGTCCCTCCCCGTTCCCAGGAGTCAGGGGCGTAGGACCACCACAAAAATGGAAAAACCATGACTCTCTCTACTTGCACCAACTTTAACTCTGTTGGCCATCCTTGTGGTGGATTGTGTCTCACTCTCTCTGATCCAGTGGGGCTCCTCTTTTTCATTGATTACATTGTGATGTTCTGATTCCACTGCTTCCCTTTCACTCACTATTGTCTCCTCTTTGCACCAAGGAAATGCTGGAGAGATTTCTCTCTCCAATTGGGCAGGGCAGGAAGGCATGCTTTGGAGGCCCTTTCTCTCACTTCCTCTCTCTTTACGGTGATGCCAATTTTAAGTGTCACAAGTGGAGAAGAAAATTTACTGGTGTCATTTCGAGTTGTAATAAAGAGTGATAATAGAGAGGGGATATCATTAGCAAAATTGCAGAGAGCACCTGGGGTCATTGCCACTCTTGCTTGGCAATCATGTAGTCCTTTGCAATACACCACTTAACAGCTATCATGCCTGGTTTGCACACAACAAGCCATTCAGAAGGCAAGGCACTGTGAGCTCTCCCACATGAGAGACATTCAGAAAGAAACTGGGCGGCCATCTGAGTGGGGTGGTGGAAATGGACATCCTGCACCAGCAGGGATTGGCCCCACTGGCCTTCCTGGCCCCTTCCAGCTCAACTATTCTGTGACTGAACAACTTAACGACACGCCATGGTTTCTCAGGGCAGCTTCTGTGCCATTAACCAATCCTGCTGAGGAAGCAACACCAGGTTCAGATGTCAAGACCAGCTGCCCTGAAGCGAGCAGGGCTGGCAACTCCTGCTGTTGCCATGTTGTGTGACCACCGTTTTTGTCCAGAAGAACCAGAGGATTTCTCAGCCCCCATGTATATGCATATATCTTGCTGCTTTTCTATTAGGCCAGGCATCCATCTGTGAGTGTGATTGGCATGCAGGATGAGGCAATCTGTAGCTCAGTGCCGTAGAAAAGTCTGTCTCCGCTCACAGGAAATTCAGTGCCACCTACTGTCTGGCACTTGTCACAGATGGAAGCTCATATTCTGTCTTTGTGTTTTGGACCAAGGAATCCAGAGGAGGCAAATCTATAAATCAGGGTTCCTTGCTAAAAGACCCTGCCAGCTGTGGATGCAAGACTGTGTGGCTACGTGCGGACAGGGGGCTGACTTTTCCCGGAAGACCGCCTGTGATGATCACCTAAGGACTGTAGCTGAAGGAGAGTGGATTGCCTAGTGAGATCACGCAGGGCCCCCAGGAGATCAGTGCAGCAAGGCCTTGAGCTTATTGGGTGGCGGGGGGGCAACTGTGGCCCTGAGCTGACCTCAGCCCTGGCAGCTCTCTTTGCAAGAAACAAACACTATACGCTGCCCTGCTGGCCTGTGCAACAACAATTTCAAAGAAACCTCCTCTTTGCTCAGTTTCACAGCAGTCAGTCAGAGGCAGAGCTGTAGCTTCTTCCTTGTAGATGCCATTTCTGCTTGGGATTCCATAGATTGGGTGCAGAATGGCTCTCTCAAGAAATGATCTTTTGCTTTTTATTCTCTTTGCAGGACATTAACGAGATGGTACGAACGGAGCGTCCGGACTGGCAGAATGTCATGCTTTATGTTACAGCGATTTACAAATACTTTGAAACCTGAAAGCCTGAACATTAAGAGGAAGCAGAAACCCAACACGATGCACAAAGCACCATTAGCATCTTGTGGAACTCTTAACAGGCCTTTCTGAGTGGCTTTAGTGAGCAAGGTTTTGTTACTGCAGTGCTGGGGCAAAGCCAAATAGCTAAACTTGCTGGATTAACTTATTAGCCTATGAAGCCTGAACTTTGAGAAGGATCTGGTAATGTCAGGTGTCACAAAGCTTTCATAATTCTGTTGGAGGAAAATGAACTGAGTGGATGCTGGAGAAGTGCATGTTTGGAAAGCCAGAATTTCAGAGGAGGAGCTCTCTATGACTGCATTCATGGACATTTCTGCATAAAGTATCCCAAGGGTTACTCTGCTCCTGCCTCCTCAACACGCACCATGACGTCCAGAGGAGGGTACGGGGCTCCTAAGCAGAACCTGTCGATGACCTTATCATAGATCCTCCTGCTGCCAGATGCACAACTACAGGAAGTATGAGGCTGTTACTCCCTCTGTCAGGTTCATCTGACTGAAGGTGGTGCTACCTCCATTGACACAACAAAGGGAAGGCTCCCCTTCAGCCCCAGGTCTGTATTTAGGCCTGCCTCTGCCCACAGTCAACAGAGCTTCCAGGCTGGTCCCTAGCCACCACACATGTGATTTCGAAAGTCAGGTGGCATTTTGCAGCAGTTTGTGCTTCCAGAATTTACCTTGTAGGATTCTTCCTTACTTTTGCTTTCTAGCCTGTTTGGCAAAGTGTAAGCTTTCCTTTGAAGGTGTTCAAGGGAAGGTGTGCTTTTGATGGCCGGACAGGGCAGGCTCCTGTCTCTCACCTGGCAATAGTGATCTCTTGCTGCCATGGCCCATGAGAAGCTTTGTGGTGTGTCCTGATCTGCCAACAGTTGTTGCTCAGAGGAAGCTGGCTGGGTTTATGTAAAAGGAGTTTTTGTGGATTTCCTTTGCAGGATTTGCTTAAATTGATGGAGTGTGTTCTGGAGGAGTGCTTTGCAAGATGGGCCCATTAGACTAAAATTGGCTTCCGGTGAACCTAGTTTGCAGTGTGGGGCTCATGGAAAACACAGAACTCTGACTTCTTGCATTGTGGGTATGCATTCACCTGGCACAGTTCTGTGCGTGTAAAGCAGTCAAGCAAGTGCCTTACTTGGCCCTGCGCTAAGAGAAACTGCAGCTCTGGGGCCCTGCACAGAAGACTCGTCAGCCCCAAAGGCCTCCCGTAGCCCCAGCAGCACGCCTTGGGCAAGGGGCTGCCATCAGTCCACCCTCGGGTGACAGGGAAGGCCCCGCCCCGCCTCCTGGCTGTGGAACAGCTTGGGCCCGCTTGGGTCACTGGTGTGGGTGTGCGTTGGTTCAGGGATGGCATATGTGTGTGTGTGCAGCTCTTTTAATAAACCCTGCTCACTTTGGTTGATGAATGTCCTTATGTGCTTCTTCCACCCATTTTCCTCCCAGTTAGAAATAATAGCCCTGCTATTTTTTTCTGTGTGCCTGGAAAGAACCCTTTTGAAAGTGACCAAGACCAGCTCCAAGACCTACCAACTGCATAACTAACAAAATAGTTTTAGGTACTGAACTATGTCTTGGGGCAATTCAGAATATAAACACTGAAGAATGTGGCCAGAGTCTGTTTCCTTGTGCCTCCGCTATCTTCTGCATGTGCCCTGGAGTGTGAGGAATCCTTCAAACTCAGTCATGGCTGTTAGCTGTCTGGTAAGTTCCCCGTGTAAATATTTTAGTCATGCTTCATTGTGACCTTCCTTTTCCTCTCAAGGGTGAAGCAAATGTTGAGGATTCCTGGGAATGCATAAAAGATTCTGGCCTGGGAGTAAGCAGGGTTGATATTGTCCAGTCTATTAATAGTATTCCAAAAAGATTTAGATGGAAATTCCCTTTCTAAATAGTTTTCCCCCTTTTGATTAGCCCTACAATGACATATGTTATGTAATCCTTACATTTAATGCTTTCTTCCTGTTGTAGTAGGAGAGGAGAATACTTCTCATCCATTGATTCTCAACTAAATACGTCTTGTTCCACAGGGGCACCTCTCTATTTATTGCATTATAATAAATCTGCAGAAACCTGCTTTTTCTAGTGAGCTCTCTTCCACCTAAATCCGCATGATTTTATGGAATGTGTGTACCCCAGTGGCAGTTACCACTAGCTTTGAGCAAAACCCTGTTTGGGAGCTCTTGCTGTTAAAGGTGGGCATCAAGAGGGTCCTGTGGAAAGGACCACCTGGGTGTACCAGAAAATGGAGGACCAACACTTAGGAGGAGCTCAAAAGCAGGAGTCTGCATATGGAACAGGAAATGAACTGTGCATTATCCTTTGCATACCCATTGTAACTTCTTTCAGGTGCCGCAGTCCCATCACAGAAAGATAGCAAGCCCTCAAAGGAATAAGAAAAGTTAAACAGAAAGCAAACATTACTTTCTATAATAAAAGCTGAACTTAAGAAATTTGTTTTGTTCTTGATTAGATAATTAGCTACATGATCCTGCTTGAAAAGGCATTACTCAATTACTTCTTCATTTTTAAAAGACCAACTGAATTACATGTTAACTGTAAAGTATATTCTTGCTGTTTTTGTTCTATTAAATATTTTTGAATATATGCTAAAACTGCCCAACAGTTTGCTTGGGGTTTTTTTTCCATTGCATTCCAATAGATGTCTTGCAAGTGCTCCTACTTGTCCTTTTTACTCATTATTTTATTGGTGGACATGTTTTCATTTGTCACATTTCTGGTTGTTCAAATGCCTTACTGAAACCTCAGGGCCCTTAAAGGGGGAGCAAGGGGAACCTGCAAGAGAAGCTGGAATAGCTAGGGTCATATCCAGAAGGGATGTTTTGCCCAAGGGGAGGTTTGCTCTGATAATGGATTCTGAGGCAGATCCTATTCACTTGAACCCTGGCCCCAAATCAGGTGTGTACCACACTTTTCTGAGCCCTCTGCTCCTATTCTGCTTTGGTATTGGAGGGTGATGTCCTAAGAGAATTGCCAGTGGCTTCCAGCACTACAAGTTGCTGAGAGGGGGAGACTTCCCTTAGCTGCCCTGATGTGTCTGCTTTTAGAAACGGATAATTCGATGCCACAATCATTTCAAGCCTAGGTGGAAGAATGATCAGAACCAAAGTACCTGTAGCACCTTGAAAATTAGTAGCTTTATTATGGCACAGCTTTCTTAGGTTAGGAGAGGAGTTGAGGGGGAATTGATTCTAAGGAAATCATGACTGTTAGCAGACTGTGGGATCATGTAATATACCTGGCAATACTATTGACCCAAAAACATAATGTGTCCAACATTAGAACATACTGGATTGGACCAAAGGCAGCATTGGTCAGCTGCACACGGTTTCCCTCAAGCAGGATGAGTGCAATAGCCTCTGGCCAAGCTTCCCTGCAACTGGGGTGTGCAGCCGCACTGCATCTGAAACCAGTGGTAGCCCTTGGCCATCAAAACAAGTAGCCATTGTTCACCTTCTGCTCCGTGATTTGTCCAAAGGCAGATAATTTATGAATCAGTTGAAAAATGCTGGTCCTACTGCAGAACCTGTGGCACCCCATTGTTTACACCCCTCCATGGGGAGAAAGTATTACTTATTCCCACTCTGTGCTTTCTGTTCTTTATCCCCTTCTTATTCCATGACTGCTAAGTACTCAGGAATCTTTGGAGAGGATAGTTGCCAAAACCCCTTTCAAAGATGAAATAATGGATCACCTTGCCCACGTGTTTAGCATGCTCAAAGAACTTGAAAAGGTTAGTGAGACAGGACTTACGACAGGACTTTTCAGCAAAACTTGTCCTGTGCACATACTGATTCTATCAGAACCATTGTGCCTCACAACATTCTGCTTAGCAAATTGGCTAGAAAGAAAAACTATTAGGTGGATCCAAAATTGGCTGCTAAATTGGACACAAAGAGTGCTCTTCTGATGGCCATTCCTACAACAACCCTGTCAGTGCCTCCATAGTCAACTTGTCCATCACTGTCAGCAGCAGCCCTGGGAATAGCTCCACCATCAGGCTCAATGGCTAGGGGAAAAACTCACAGTCTTCTGTTCCTCTGAAGGAAAAATCCAGGACTCCCTGCTTCATGTGGGGGCCCTTCACCTTTTTCTCCACCTGAAGAAAAGCCCGATCTCCATGTGTGGAACCATGAGCCAGACTGGTTGCAGGCCCATTGTACAAGATGTTCTCCTTGGCTTCATCCCATACTCCAGGTAATTGATTGCCTCAACTGACCTGGATTAGAGAACCATACTGGGCATCATAACTGCCCATGGACCCATGGCAAGAGTGGACTCAACAACACCAACTGAAGGAACTGTAGAGAGTGACCCCAACAGTTCCTCTGCCTCCACTGGATTCTACAGAAACTCGGGGCCCAGTTTTGCAACCACTGTTGCCAGCTTACTATTCTCCAACCAGGATCCAGTCAGCTTCACCTCATCATCCTGCCTTGCCATTCAACCACTCCCCTTCCTCAGACCCAGCCAATTACACCTCCAACTTTGGGAACCTGCCAACCTACAATGACCCCATGTCTACTTCTCCAGAAGATAGTACTTTCTGTGCAAGGTGTGAGATGCCCTTTTGAAGACCTTAACACCATGAGGGAACTATGGAAGGCTTCAACATAACCACACCCAACAAGACATTTTGAGAACTTTTACTGGATCCAAGAGAGGGATATCCTATTCCTACTGTATCATGCACAGCCAAATTCAATCATTGTAGAATCAGCACAGGGTCAGACACAGAGGGAGCACACCACTCTGACTGACCAGGAAGGACACCACCTAGATGTGATGCTGAGCAGAATCTGCATGACAATGGGACTGGGTCTCCAGATTTCTGTCAATCATGATCAGATTTCTATCAATTTCAAGGCAATCATGGGGAGGTACCAAGTCTTTGGCAGAAGATGGGCGCCATAGCCAAGTTCCTTCCAGAGCAACGTGAACCGACTAGGGTGTTCCAAGCCCTCATTGACATGGTGGCCATTTGCAGACATGCCTGGCTCCAGGCAGCAAGCCTGTCTCAAGAAACCCGGTCCCATATTGAGGAGTTACCTTTTGATGGTGAAGGACTGTTCAGTACTAGGACTGACAAGACACTGCATTATACAGAAGGCAAGAGTAACTGCGAGGAGAGTGGGTTTCACGCCCTCTCAACCACTCCGAGCACATAAATAGCCATGGGACCCTTCCCTCCGGGGCCAGCCTCACCATCCATCCCATGCACCAGTAACAATGGCTGCCTCAACCTGGTCACTGGGATGCCTCCTGTTTTGAACAGCCTAATAAGAAATGGTCAGATACAGGGAGCCGACATCATCGACAGCAGGCACAAACCAGCCCCTTTCCACTGGTGCAGGCTCCGTTCAAGGGCTGCCTAAGTACTTTCCTTCACAAATGGGATCATACAACCACTGATCAATGGATTGCCTCCACTGTGGATAATAGGTACCACATTGAATTTGAAACCCTTCCACCTCTAGGAACTGCGGGCTCCACTACCTCCTCTCCCTCCTTTGCTGAGGAGGTCAGCACATTACTGTTGAAAGGGGCAATCCAACCCATCTCTTCATCTAATGCCCATCTCTGTTCAGCTTGGTCTTATTATAAAACCTGATGTGGTTGCCCCTTCCTGAGAAGAGTTTCAACACATCCGGGAAACTTGAGAACTCCTATTGTGTTTTTGTATTCACACAAAGAACTCTGTGCTTATTCCTTCCCAGTCAAGCCTCAATATCAGGGCAAAGCTGGATTCCATTACAGCCCAAACCTATTTATCTGCAGCGAGAGTGGAGAATCTCATCAACCTGGCACGCCAACTTCAACTGCAACTTACAACTACTGTATGAAAGGTTGAATGACTACTCAGGCTCATGGTGGCAACGGTTGCAGTCATCCAGTTTTTGAGACTCTGAATGCGGCCATTACAACTCCGGTTGCCCACAGCACGACTCAGTAGGGAAAAGACTATCGCTCCCTCATCCCATCCATCCCAGCCTCTCCTCGTGGACCAACACTCAACAATTCACAGATGGGATCGATTTTGTACACAGGGATCTAGCCTTGACCCTTACAACAGAAGCTGGGGAGCGCATTGCAAAGGCAAGGGAACACATGGGCTCTGGAATGAGTGCGACCCCTTGAACCATATCAATTAATGGAGCTCCTAGCAGTCCAGAAGGCTCTGTTGGTCTCCAGCAGTTCCTTACAAACAAACAAGTTTGACTAGTATCATCAACACCACAGTCGTATTCTCTTTGCATAAGCAAGGCACACCAAGTCAGTGTCTAGACCAGGGGTCCGCAACCTTAAACACTCAAAGAACCATTTGGACCCACTTCCCACAGAAAAGAAAACACCGGGAGCCACAAAACCCCTTTAACATCTGAAATGAAGCTAATGCTGCATATATCGTTTTCTAGCTTTATGCTATGTATAAAAAAACTATAGTTTGTTGCATTTATGAAATCAATGAACTGCTACAGAGAAAACAAATTTTTATTTCTGCATGCAACAAAAACATTTTGAACTCTGAAAAAAAAGACCCCGGTTTGAAGGTTACTTTCAAATAAAATACTCAGTGTCTATTTGAGTCCTTCTTGTTTTTATGAAATAAAAAGCCGAACTTAAATTATCCACCTGCAGCTTCCTGTGCCTGGCTATTTCCTGAGCGGCCACAAAACTAGCAGATGGAGTTGGATTTCCAGACTTGATCCACTTCTTGAATTGATTTTTGCTCAGACCAACCTTCCGCATCAGTTCCGAAATGGCTTTTTTTCTCTCTCCATCCGGATATTTTTCAGCAAAGGTTGTGTGTTTATTCTGGAAATGTCTTGCAACATTCGACTTTTTGTTGTTTGCCAATTTCTCACCACGTATTAAGCATACTGGTAAACCAGTCTCATCAGCAGTGAAAGCAAATGAATCTGCCCACATATCATTAAATGTTCTGTTTTCTTCTGAAACTTCTCTTTTCTTGGATTTATCCATGGTTGGCGTACCGGGGTTGAAAAGCTCAATAAATCGCGTGCCAGCGGGTGTTGCACATTGGCAGTTGTGATGCATATTTGAGCGACAAGGAACCGCAGCAGAGGGATGAAAGAGCCACATGTGGCTCCGGAGCTGCAGGTTGCTGACCCCTGCTGTCAACTAACTCTTCAGATATGGATCCGGTGCCTATGATGCACAGAGACCATGAAGAAGAAAATAAGAAGAAAGTAATCATACAATTGATATAATGGTTTTTTGTTTGCTTTTTATTTTTCTGTTGGTTCGTTTAAAATGAATAAAATACATTAAACATGAAAAAATAAAGGGTGGCACATGACACACTTAAAAGAAGAAGAAAGTAAGTTGCTTATCTGTAACTCATTCTTTGAGATGTCATTTGTGCATTCATTCAGCCTGGCCACTGGCCCCACATTGGTGTCATCAGCTCAATAAACTCCCCTCCATGACCCTCTTTGTGTCACTTCCTCTCTGTCTTCATGGCTTTGCCATTCTGGTTCCAGGGCTAAAATAATCAGTCTCCATTCAAACTTAAGAAAATGCTGGGAACCCCATCCTTATATTCTGGGGGAGGAAGGTGCTGGACTCCTGCCA